TGCATATGAAGCAATTGAAAATACTATGGCTTGGGTCAGGCCACCTTAATCCTAAAACTGACATCTTTGCTCTTGAACACTTTTAAGAGGTCTTTTGCAACAGATTTGTCCAATGAATACACCATTTGATTTCTTGACTGCTCCTTTCATGAGTGTTGATTATGGATCCAAGCAAAATGAAGCATTTTACAATGTCAGTCTTTTCCCCATTTATCATGATGTCATTTATTGTTCCAATTGTGAGGATTTTTGTTTTGTTTTGTTTTATGTTGAGGTGCAACCCATACTGAAGGCTGTGTGGCCTTTGAGCTTTATCAATAAATATTTTAGGTCCTTTTTGTTTCCAGCAAGCAAAGTTGTGTCGTCTGCATAGCACAGGTTGTTAATGAGTCTTCCTCCAATCTTGATGCCACATTGTTTGTCATGTAATCCAGTGTCTCTGATTATTTGCTCATCTTATAGATTGAATAAGTATTGGTGAAAGGAAACAACCCTGGTGCACACTTTATCTGATTTTAAGTAATTCTGTATTCCTTTGTTCCGTTCCAACAACTGCCTCTTATTCTATGTGCAGTTTCCTCATGAGCAAGTAAGTGTTCTGGAATACCCATTCTTCAAAATGTTATCCATAGTTTGCTATGATCCACATGGTTCAATATCTTTGCATTGTCCATAATGCAAAATTAAATGTCTTTCTAGTATTCTCTGCTTTCAGCCAAGATCTATCTGATGTCAGCAATGATATCCTTCATTCGAAGTCCTCTTCTGAATCCAAATGAAGTTCTGGCAGCTTTCTCTCAATGCACACCTATAAAGGTTTTTGGATTCTCTTCAGAAAAAAATTTGTGTGTGTATTAATGATATGGTTGGAAGATTTTCACATTCTGTTGGATCACCTTTCTTTGGATTGGGCACAAATATAGATAGCTTCCAATCAGTTGGTCTTCCAAATTTCATGGCATAAACCAGTGAGGGCTTCCGGTACTGTATCAGTTTGTTGAAACATTTCAGTCTGTATTCTATCAATTCCTGGATCCCTATTTTTAACCAATGCCTTCAGTACAACGTGGACTCCTTCCTTCAAAACCACCTGTTCTTTTATTTATTTATTTTAAAGTTTTATTGTTAACTGTGTGATAGTTTACATGGAATATACCACCTGTTCTTGATCATACACAGCCTGTTGAAATGGTTGAGCAGTGACCAATTCTTCTTAGCATAGTGGCTATGTAGTTCTTCCATTTTATTTTGATGTTTCCTGCATTATTAGATATTTTGTCTGTGTTTTTGTTGTCAAGTGCCATCGAGTCAGTTCTTATGTTTAGCATCCCTGTATAGGATTTCTGAAGAGTGACTAGTGGATTTCAGCAACCGACCTTTGCAGTTAGCAATCCAGAATTTTTTAATATTGCAAAAATAGGCTTGAAATTTTCTTTTGGTGCTTTTTGTTTGAGAACTGCTGAGCATGTTCTTCCCTTTTGCTTTTCTAACTCAAGGTCTATGCACATTTCATTATTTTGTTGTTGTTAAGTGCTGTCGAGTTGGTTCTAACTCACAGCAACCCTGTATAGGGTTCTCAAGGCTGTCTGTGTATCTTTGTGGGAGCAGAAAACCTCGTCTCTTTCCTGGGAAGCAGTTGGGGGACTCAAACTGCCAACCTTGTGATTAGCAGTCCAGTGCTTATCCTATAGAGCCACAGTGTTCTGGACATTTAATTGTGATAATTTACATGGTCTTCCTGATCTGTCCTTTGAATTTTTCTGTGCAACTTTTTAATTCTTTATTTCTTTAGTTGCTTTAGCTTCTCTGTGCTCAAGAGCAAGTTTCAGAGTCTCTTCTGATACCCATTTTGGATTTTCTTTTCTGTCTAAATAAACTTTTGCTTTCTTCATGCATGATGTTCTTGATAGCACCCCATGACTCTTCTGGTTTTCAATGATTCATGACTAATGTATCAAATCTATTCTTGAATTGGTCTCTAAACTCAGGTGTGGTATACTCAAGGTCATATTTTGACTCAGTGGACTTGCTTTAATTTTCTTCAGCTTCAGCTTGCACTTGCATGAGTAATTGGTCTTTGTTTGACTGATGATATTGCATGTCCCCATCTTTGTTTCCTATAGATGTCGTCAATTTGATTTCTATGTATTCATAGAACGTGTACAGTTGACTTTTAAGTTATTGAAAAACAAATGTTTTCACAGAATAAATCATTGATTTTGCAAATTTTTATCATATGATCTCCATCAGATTGTCACCAAGGTCATAGTTTCCAACTACTGATCCTCTCTCTTTGATTCCAACTTTTACAGTCTAATCATCAGTAATAATCAGTGCATCTTGATAGCATGGTTGACCAATATCAGACTGAAGAAGTTGGTAGAACTCTTCAATTTCATCATCACTGGCTTCAGTGATTGGTGGGTAAATGTGAATTACAGTGATATTAACTGGTCTTCCTTGTTGTTAAGTGTCATCGAATCAATTCTAGCCCATAACGACTCTGCATAGAGTTTCTGAGGAACTGCTGGTGAGCTTGAACTGGTGAGCTTGAACCGTTGACCTTGAGGATCAAACCAACTTTGGAGTCCAATGCATTAATCCACAGTACCGCACCAGGACTATGGTCTTCCTTGTAGGCACATGGCTATTATCCTAGCACATACAGAATTGTACTTTGATCTTGAAATGTTCTTTTAGATGACAAATGTGACACCATTCAGTTTCAATTTGTGATTCCTAACATATCTAAGGAGTCTTGGTGTGGTTCTAAAAAAAAAAAAAAATCTAGTGAATATCTAATACTATATATATCCACAAATGAAATATGTCCTACTCAACAATAACCATATGATGGTCTAATTTTAAATGGCCAATATTTGTCCATTCCAGATACTAATGCCTAAGGTATTGATCTTTATGCATTCCATTTCATTTTTGATCACTTTTGGTTTTCCTAGAGTCATACTTCATACATTCTATGTTCTGATTATTAATGGATGTTTGCATCGGTTTATTCTCATTTTCAACTGTGCCTCCTCAGCAAATGAAGGTCCTGAAAGTTTTGCTCTGTTTATGTCGTTAAGGTCGACTCTACTTTGAAAATGCTGCTCTTCCCCAGTCATATTTTGGGTGCCTTCTAACCTGAGGAACTCATCTTCAGGCATTATATCAGACAATGTTCCACTGTTATCCATAAGCTTTTTAGAGGCTAACCATTTAGAAGTAGTCTGACTTTCCTTTTTATGAGTTTGTCCTCCCCTGAAACCTGTCCACCATGGATGACCCTGTTGGTACTTAAAATACCAGGGGCATAGCTTTCAGCATCACAGCAACACACAAGTCACCACAGAATGACAAACAGTCATATATACGGTGGACTCTTCTAGTAGGAATGTAAAGTAACAACCATTTTGGAAAACTTGAGTAGTTTCTTAAAAAGTAGAATATACATCAACAATGTAACACAGTTATGCTACTCTTAGGTACTTTACCAAGATAAATAAAAATATATGTTCAAACAAAAGACTCATACATAAATATTCATTGTAGCTTTATTTGTAATAGCCCCAAACTGGAAACAACCCAATGACTATCAGTAGTAGATTAATGGGTAAATAATATCTAGTACTGTGTATATTCAGACAATGGAATATATTAGGAACCCTGGTCTCTCCTTGGAAACCCTATGTAGAGTTGCTATGGATTGGAACCTACTGGACAGCACTTTACAACAACAACAATAAAAAGGAATAAACCATTGACACACAACATGACTGAATCCTGAGGGAAGAAAAGAAAGGTAAAAAAAGAGGGGGGTGGGCAGGCAGGCAGAAGAGAATATACTAACAGATTGCGTTTATATGATTTTTGAAAATGCAAACTAGTTTATGAGGTCGAAAATTAGACCAGTAATTTTCTGGAGAATGGTGGACAGGGAAAGGTGAGGAGCGGGGATTACAAAAGGGCATTAGGAACATTTTATATGCCAAGAAAGGAGTAAAATTTGGACAAGAGGTAAAAGGTAAAATTTGGACAAGAGGTAAAAGGTGGACGAGTATGGTGAGAGGCTGATTTCTTTCTCTACCTGCCCGCCTAGATTAATATGGGTGTGTTTTGGGACAAATCTTTGAAACTTGATGTCTTCTTCAGAGAGAAATAGAGATGAAGGCAGAGAAGCACTTTTGAGGAGAAGCATGTAGTGAATGCTCACTTTGTGTCAGCAACTATGTTAAGCACTTTAAATGCATTATCCCATTTAATTCTAACAAAATGCTTAGCTAAGTGCCATGATCCTTATTTTATGAACTAAAGTATAGAACTTCTGAGAGGTCAAACAGCTTACTCTATGATTGCTGATCTCTGACATGAGATCCAGTGCTGATACCACCAGACGTGGCCACTCATGGACTTGTGACTGAGTCTGGAAACTCTTAATGCCTGGCTGAAGTCTATGGAAGGAGGTGATTAATAATCTCCAGAAGCCTGTTCCTGCTAGCTCTGGGCACATAAACAGTAGCCAGGGACCCAGAGGCACTGGGGTTTTTGTACTTAAGTGTGACCAATCATTCCCACATGCCTTGGACTGAAGGGTTCGTAAGCTATAGTGCTTCATTTAAAAAAAAAACAAAAACAAGGAAGAGTTGGTAACCCAAGCAAACTCAGCAGATACCTTGTTTTTTTGGGATCTGGTTCATGCCCAGAATAGTTTCTTGGGCTTTGAAGTTGACATGTGAGATGACTTCACAGGTAGGTTAAGGAGCAAAGGGAGGCAATTTTCTTTTTATTGCTCTTTTATTTCTATTCAGTCTAAATGCAAAGATGATTCCAGCCTCTTCAACATCCCATTTCCAATTGGGGGTTCTCCCTAGAGTAAGGGAAATAGGAGCTTCTGGCTGAGCGTGGGTGCGATTAAGACAACAGTTTTTCTAAATGTAGCTCCAGCCTGATCCTCAATTACCCTTACCCTACACAATGGGAGACATAGCCCCAGGAGCAACCTACTTGCTTGGGTTCTTCTGCTGCCCCAGTGACCCTGGCCTAGGTGAATTTTGTGAACCGTGAGAGATCCTGTCCTGAGTTTGGGGTGATTTGGACTCAGATTCCTTATTAAGAGAAGTGGACTCAGGCTTGGCCTCCAAACACTGTTGTTGAATGCAGCACTGGGGTGGTGGTGGACAACACTGGCGTGGTATTGGGCAGCACAGACGTGGCTGCAGATAGCACTGGCGTGGCTGGGGACCGCACTGGCATGGTGAACTGTTCTGATCTGGTGGTGGGCAGCATAGTCGTGGTGACTGGTTGCCTGGGCGTGGTGGTGGGCCACATTGGCGTGGTGGTGGGCCACATTGGCGTGGTGGTGGGCCACATTGGCGTGGTGGTGGGCCACATTGGCGTGGTAGAGGGCCACACTGGCGTGGAGGCTGGAAGCATGGGCTGTATTTTGGTTGATCACACATCTTCCTGAGATTAGGAGGTCCTGGAAAAAAAAGAGGGGGAAACTATTTCCATCAGAAGGAAAGCTAGCTGCCTCCTTTTGTTTCCCCTTCTCTGATCCTCAGATAGATTCCATCTTTTGGGTGATGGCTCAGTCCAGGGTTGGGAAAGCAGAACAGCATCCCTAAGAGACACAACCAGTCCCATTATTTTGTACCTTCATTTGTATCCATTCATTTGTTCCTCACTAGGAAATCGTTTTTCCAGATATGAAGCTATAATACCAGAACATAAATGAAATTTGCCTAAGATCTCTTAGCTAACAAGGTACAGTATGACTGACTCTTAGTAACTTGATTCTGAGCCCAGTTCAGGCACTTCACAGGTATTCCTACATATAGTCATCACTAGGTCTTTGTTTCAAACCCACCCGTCACTTCTCAGCAACCCTGTACAGGGTCATTATGAGTCTGAACTGACTTGATGGCACTTAACGACAGCAACAACCATCAGTCTGGGGAAGGCAGTGATGGTTCAAGTGGTAGAATTCTTGCCTCCCATGTGAAAGACCCAGGCTCTATGCTTTGCCAATGTACCTCAAGCATTGCCACCAGCAGATTTTCAAGGTGGCTTGCATCTTGCTATGTTGCGAAACAGATTTCAGTGACATTTACAGACTAAGAAGAAAGGCTTGGGCATCTATTTCCAAAATTCAGCCAATGAAAATCCTAGGGGGATCACAGCAGTGTGACCCACAGCAAATCATGAGGATGGCACAGGACCAAGAAGTGGTTCATTTGCTATTCACTGGGGTCTCCAACAACACAAAGTCTGCAAACCGAAGTCCAGATGATCAATAAATAGACAATACCCTAAAAGGGCAAAGGAGTAGAACTGAATCAATGGAGGCCAGAAACAGTGAACTCGAAGATAAATTTTTCAAGCTAGAACAACAATCAGAAAAAAGAATGAAAAAAGTCTGAAGGAAGTCTAAGATTCATGTGGGACAATGTAAAGAAAAGTAACCTAAGGGAGATTGGAATTTCAGAATAGGAAGAGGCAAAGAAAACCACAGAAAAGATAGTCAAAGTGCTAACATCAAAAAAGATGAGAAGATGAACATTTAAGAAGCTGAACGAACTCCAGGCAGGATGGACCTCAAAACAAAATCAACAAGACATATTATAATCAAACTCTCCAAAATCACATAAGGAAAGAATCCTGAAAGTATTGGGGTCCCCATGAGTTGGGGGTGACTCAGTGGCAGCTAACCGTAACTAAGCATAGGCAAGCAGCTGGGGGTTACAGCAAGCTAAGATGGGAAGGAAGTACATTGCTCTTGACATCCCAGGAGCAGACTTCCAGGTCTCTTTCTACAGCTCCAAACCACATGGTCTGAGCAGCTCTCTTCACTCTCTGGGATTTTCTTCTGTATAAATGGACAATGATGCACATGGGGAGGACAAACTGGACCCATAGGTGTCCTCACAATACTTCTGGGTGTAGAAAAAGCCAAAACGATTCCTTCTTTGCTTCTCTTAAACCCCATATCCCGCCCAGGAAATCAAGATTCTTGGGAGGTTCTTCAGCCTAGGCCTCAATATATGGACCATGAGGCGGCCCCTACATGGTGATTGCCTTACTCCCACCCCTGTAGAAGATGGATGAAACCTAGTCATGACCCCAGAGTTAGACAGAGGGGCTAGAGGGTCAGCAGGCTAAGAACAGCACTCATCTAACCTTGGGAGAAGGGCCCTAGCCAGGTCTGTCAGAGCCCTGTCACCTGGGTGGAGGAGGATGGGTGTGGAAGTTGGAGTAACAGTTGCTGAGGTAAAGTTGCCACCACCCTTCCAACAGGACGTCCGAGAAAAGTCTCCAGCCCAAATTGCTTTTTGAAACTGAGCCAGTTACTTCTGTGTGTTGTCCATTAAGCATGTCCATACCCATGACTCTGACCATGTAGATGCATATGTGTGTGTCCACGCAAAGAACAAGCACAGGAAAGGGGAACTTAAGGAGACTGTTCTTTGTATTTGCTCATTAAATGTTACAATTGGAGTCTGTCTGAATAGATCATCAGCTGCTATTTTCCACTGGTCTCATTTTTCCTTGCCAGTGAATCCTTCCTCCATCATATCCCTTCCTATGCTCCCTCATGCCACTCCCTCCCAGCCTGGCTCTGAAGGCTCTCTTATCTAATGCTGAAAAAGACAGATTCCTCTTATTTATATTTGGCTCTTTTCTATGTTTTGAGTATGGGAAGGATTCTAGGGGACAGGAACTACAAATCCCTCCTCATGCCAGACTTTTTGAGGGTCACCTGAGTAGGGAAGAAGGCTCTTTCAGTCTCTACTTGCCTCTGAAGGCACTCTTGCTCACTGAAGATGAAAGATTCTCAAATTAGATGGCTACCAGACAGAACACCTGTCCTGGTAGGATAAGCACTGTACCAAAAGGTTGGTTTGAGCCACAAAGTTGGTGAGTTCAAACTCAGCAGCCTCTCCTTGGAAACCCTATACAGCGTTGCTATGATCGGAACCAACTCAAAAGCACTTACAAACAACAGCAACAAAGAACACCTGTCAGATGACCTACTTTGCTGTTTGAACCTCCCCTGTGACTTAAGGGTAGACACAAGACCTTGGCTACCTTGGATGATGTGTGTGTCAGGCAAAGCCTCAACCCTTCGTCATCTGAGAACTCACCTAGATCTAGCTCATGTTGTACTAACTGAGCCAGGTGTGGCTGACAACCCCACCCACTGAAAACTGTCACTTCCAAACTGACAAATGGTGGCCTAGCCCAAGCCCAGCCTTCCTCCACCTCTACTTTGTCAGTCACCAGTACAGCTCAGGGTTTGTCTGAGGGAAGGAGTTTCTCCACCTACAAGGAGGAGTCCTTCTGTTGTGCCTTTTGGTATTGTCTGAGGGTAAAGTGATGGTAACTTTCCTTTTGGGGTCACACTATGATTTTATTTCTGAAATAGAACACTGGGAGAGAAAGAAATTTAGGGGAAAAAGGATATCTTGCAAGGCTCCTGCCTCTTGGTCTAATTTCCCTACACTCACAAGCCCCTGACTGTGTGACTCCAGAGCTGAACTGGTCAGGGCGGGATCTCACATAGGAGGTTAAGTGACTTCTTAGGGCAGGGTGTTGCCTTTAACTCATTTGTAACCCTCTGTCTGCCAGTTATTACAGTATTAGCTGTCATCAGGGAGTGTTTTCTCCATCTGTTTTAACAGGGAGACATTGGTCCTAGACTCTTAGTGGTTGGCACTGTGGGGGAGGATTCCACAGTCCATCAATCCAGATGAATAGGCACTGCAAAGAGGCTGAGCTGGTGGACATCTGCTCTGTGGATGCTCTGACTTGCCTCAGAAGGAAGGAAAGGAGAGAGAAAGAACAATGGGAAGCAACAGAGAGAAACACATAAAAAACAGATTTAGGATAGACATGTTGTTGTAATTTTTCAGTGTTATTCAGTCAGTTCTGACTCATAGTGACTCTGTGTAGGGTTTCTGAGGCGCAACTAACTGGTGGGTTTGAGCCACTCACTTTGTGGTTAGAACTCCAGTGCTTATCCTAAAGCCCTCCACTATGACCCCAAGCAGAAAAATCAGGACAAGAGAGAGTAAAAGACTGTATGTGCCATGCTCTCAGCTTCCTTTGTGGTGTTCAGAGCCATTTGTCAGAACTTGTGTGTCTGTTCTAGGACTCCCTTGCAGTGGTAGGTAGGTGAGTTTGGGTATATGGATGTGTGCAGTGAGCCAGGTATCTGTGTTTTTCTTCTTGTTGTCGGAATCCATTCCTTTAGGGGTCAAATCAGAGACCAGTCTAGAGGAAGGAGCAAGCAGCATCTTTTATATTTCTCTTTTGATTTTCTGTGTGCCTGATTTTGTCTGTCTGTCTTTCTAGGTCATGCTCTGTCTTTCATTGTATCTCCCTCATTCTTTCCACTTCTGTGTTTACCTTTCTCTGCTCTGATTGTGGTGCCTCTGAATTGACAGAGCCTCCTCACCACTCAGAATCCAGTTTATTAGGATCCATGTAAGTCCAGGCTGGGCTATTTTTTTTTTTTTTAATGTTTTATTGTGAATTATATGATAGTTTACATGGGAGAACTTTAGTTTTACATTCATTCCATCGTATATCATCTCACTGCCATGGTTCTAATCCCCTCCATGCATCATCAACCACCCAAAGGGTATATCCCAGAAACCCGCCCCCTGCACTTCCCCGTCCTCCCCCCAGTTTTTGGCCCACAGTCCCTTTCCCTCTCTGGGTCCAAGGTCCCCAGTTGCTTCATCACTCCACGTCATCATCTCTGTCTCCATCTCAGGCATCTCTGTTTCTCTGGGTAGGGTCCCACTCTCGGCTCTTCTCCGTTGATGGTCCCAGAGGACTCCACTCCTATCCTGGAGAATTAATCACTCCCTTCCTTGTTACAAAACTTCCACCTTTGCATTTCCAACCCTTATAATCCGTCCTGATAAGCATTATTCACTACAGTATCACGAGTTACCCATCTGTATCTCCTTTCATCAGCTCCGCCCAGACAGATTGAATAGTACCTTCTGGAGATTCTGCCTTCTGCCATGCTCCTTAGCACCAGGTTCCCTATTGAAAGCTTGTAAGCCAGTCACTTCTTACCTTTGTATTTCCCCCCTCCCCATTTGAGTATCCAATGTCCAAGCTGCCCTTTTCTGTCCACTTTGTGTGTGTGTGTGTGTGTGTGAATGTTTCTTGCTGTAAGGATTTATTCCCTCTTTTGAGTCTCTGCTCCATAGGTATAGGTCAAGTTCATCAGACTATATCAGCTCACTCTTTTTTTTTTCCCCCTCTTCTTTCCTTTCCTGGTTGAGCTCTGATCATCCAGTCATCAGGTCCAGGTCACGTGGGTATCATCTGCAAGTGTGGTCGCTCCTGTGTATATGTCCTCTCTTCCCGTCAGCCAGTAGCTCCACTCTCCTCTTGAGTCTTCCGTGGCCACGCCACTGACTCTGGGCCCAAGAGTCCCTAGGCCTCTTCACACTGCTTGCCAAC